TTGGAGAGAGGGTACCAATTGGCTAGGATCACCAGTAATAGTTCACATGTTACCGTATTCACTCCGAACACAACATAAAGTTCTAAAGAACTGTTCAATTAAAAATCACAACTCTACATATCATGAGAAACTAAGCATATCAAAAGAGATAAATGAGCAAAAAAATGTAATACCAATTATAGTAACGAAGTAAAATGCTTGAAGCAGCTCTTGATATGGAAAGCACAGTAGATACACTTGTAATATCTTCTTCCTGACGCTGCTTTATATCTGATTCCTTCAAGATGATAAAATTATTCTGGAGAAGAAAAAAAAGGACAAACATTTCACTTAGATGAAATCAATAAGAGCACTATAAATAAGCAACAGAACCACAGCTCCACCACAGCTTGATTTCAAGTTTACATGATATGCACATAAAAGCTCCTCAAATTGAATGGACAAATCTCTTCCAACTACAAGATTTTATATTCAATTTCATATTGCATACATACACACCTGAAAAAGTGGTCCCTTGGAAACAATGAAGTAAGAATTCAGTTCATCAAGAATGCCTCTTGTTCCAGAGACAAAAGGCTTCAGCATGAGGCGGACAAAGTGGATTCAAGAATGCTTAAAATCTGTAAATCTCCCAATAATGATCTTAAGACAAGGCAACCACTTTTTGTTCTCTTTACTGGCGTTGCAGGGTTAAATGGTATCAATTGGGGAGGATGAGCCGATATTCTATTGGCTATTAGTAGTGAAAATCATTTTGTGTTTTATCAGGATTGGAGGTTAATTGGCTAAGAGTTCAATTGCGTGGATTATTCACAATATAATAAATTGGAATAGTCAGCAAATAGTTCGGGTGTAGAGTAGGGGTCTGGCCTTTAAATTATGTGTCTATCACTGGGTGGAGAGCCTTGAGTGGTGGGAAGCTTACAATAGTGCAGTCTATTTTTGACAGCTTATCAACTTATTATTCGTCTCTTTCTAAAATCATGGAGGGGTAGGATTGATTATTAATTTCTCCTTTTTCCTAATATTTAAGTTATCGGCTTCCTTTCTACTTGCCGGTTATTTAAAGGGGCAAGAGAACCAATTCTTAAAGGAGAAACAGCAATAGCACTACAACCTCAAATTGCTCAACTAAATCATTGGCAACACTAAAGAATATTGTGTCTTACCATGTTATCAAAAAGCTGCAACCAACTTAAAGATAAGCAACCAGATAAAACTACATACACTATCTACTTGTCAAGCAAAGGTTTCTCTACTTCGTTGGTAACACAAACCTATGTATAGATTCATCACAGAAACTAGACAAGTTACGACAATAAATCATTCACATTCTCTCAAGCTATAATACAAAAACCAGTAAAACTGACATAAACAATTATGTGAAATCTTGGAGGACAAAAATACCAAAATTATTATTATATCTACTGCAAGCGATGGAGCACAAATGCAGCTCCCCAATCTTTCTTTTTCCCTTGATGAGAAACAATACTTTCATTGAAAAACAATATTTGAAATTACACAGAAAGGGGACAAAAGCAGCTCCCAAATCAGAATGAAGGACCAAAAGAAAAGAAATATATTTAAATTTACCAGTTAGTGAAGCCCAAACAATAAAACCCTGCAACCTAAACATTCAGATAAGACCTATGCTAAATCCGCCTCATCCCTATTCCATCAAAGCCAACTGCTCAGTCTCATGCTAGGTCCAAAGTCAGAATTAAATCTGTATCAACTACCTAAGCCCAAACAATGAAAAGTACACACCATTTGCGGGAAAGGAAAAAGGCATTCAGAAATTGCTATCAATATTACTGAGTCGTATGACAACCTGAAGGATAGCGACCAAGAGAATCATATAGGTAATTTTTTTCAGCTTTCCTCTACTACTCTACAAAGCCAACAGAGAGACAAAAGTATCCTTACTCAAGCTCAGAAGTACAAACACAGGTTACTTCAGCTCAACTGGGCAAAAGTTATCACAGTTTAGTCAAGGGTTAAACAGGAAAGACTTAATCTTTAGTTTATATTGTTAGCTTAACTAAGCTGCGGACTCCAACTTTAAACAAAAAGAAAGAAAATTCAGAACCCAATTCCCATTAGTTTCGCATTAGTTTCCCATTAGTTTCCTATAATCACAAAACCCAAACGATCAGAGCATCTAATTTTCTTACCTAACCATTCCAAAGCTTTCTCAGCTCGCAAACAGAGCAAAAAGCAAACAAATTTCAATAAATTCACAAATTTTGCAAGAACATTAAGACAGAAAACGACACAGTCGGACAAACCTCAGCTCGACTAGCCTCGATCCTCTTGATTCCCTCATTATCCTCGCCGAAATCGACATCAACGTCGTCGTCGCTGCCGTAGTAGTCCATGCCCATCTCGTCACTGTAAAAGCCCTCGTCGTCATCCATGGACTCGACGTCGTTGGCGTCGTGCATATCGTCCTCGGAGTCCATCGTCCCAAACAAACCCTAAGGGCGGGAGGAGTATTTGGCTGGCGAGAAAGCGAGGAGAGTCGGTGCAAAACTGAACAGGAAATCGGAGAATCACAGGGTAATTTGCCGGTTTTAAGTTACTAATTGATCAAATAAAAAAGATATTTTTTTTCTCCACCCTCTTCTCTCTCTATATCTATCTGTCTGTCTGCCTTGCTTTGGATATTTATATAAAAATATTTTTAAAGCAAAACTACAGAAGAAGAAGGAGAGCGAGACGGAGTTGAAGAAGGAAAGCGTTGCGTGCGTGAGTCTGACGTCAGAACAGAGTTGTGTTGAGAACAGGAGAGAGAGAGAGAGAGAGAGAGAGAGAGAGAGAGAGAGAGAGATAATAGGACTAGGGAGGGGGCGTTATATTATCAACCCTCATTTGCTGACTACTCCCCATTCTACACGAAAATTCTATACCGACCCTTTATTTGACGACTACATCAAGGCAGGCACCATCCAATTCAATTCGGTTTCCTCTCGAATTGGAACAGAAACTGGAACTTACATACAGTCTAATTCAGTTCAATTTTTATAGAAAGTGTCTAAAAGAATCATACTAAACTGGACCTGTGCGATTCCAGTTCAGTTTGGTCGATTTTTCGGTTTGGAAAGAAAAATATTAAGATGTGAAAAAGAATAAAATATGATGTATAGAAAAATAGAAAGAAGAGAAAAACATGTACAATTGATAAAATAAGAGAGAAAGAGGTGAAGAGATAAATATGAAGTGAAATAAAAAGAAATAGGTGGAAAAGAGAAAAAGACGAAAGTGCAACAAGAACGGATATTGTTCACTTAAAAGAAAAAGAAATTGGGTTGTAGTTATTTAGATGGGTATAAATTGGAACTAAGCCATTTGGGTTGGGTTAAAATATCTATATATTACTTGGAGTTAATAGTGTTTTTTAATATTAATTAGGCTTACTAATAATTTTGGATATAAATAAATAAGTAAACTTAACATAACCGGTTTGGTTTGGTTTACATCAATTTTTCCAAGACAAGAATCGTGACAAGAACATATCCAAAGCAGTCCAATTTGATTTTTGAGCATTGATTGACTTTTTTTGTCAACATAAAAACCCACCTCCAATCATGCTCCCTATCTAGCTCATAAAATAGAGAAATCTCTAGGAGCTCCTAAATTTGAGGAGAGATGAAAAGCTCCTAGTGACTCCCTATAATTAAATGCTACTATATTTTATTATTATTTTAAACATTTATTTAATGATATCTTTAATTTTATCATTTTTGTTCCTGGATTTTATTTAATGGTAATCAATATTCAATGGATGACATGGCCAATCAATCTATAAACAAAGAGTTGCAAACTCAGTCAGCCAACAAAACAGAAAAACAACAATCTCGCAACTTCACAACGAAAGAAGACAATCTTCTTATATCAGCTTGGCTCAACGTCAGCTTGGATGCAGTACAAGGAAATTAGCAAAAAAGCGGAACATATTGGAAGATAATTTGGGAATACTTCCATGAATACAAAAGCTTTGTGGGTGACTGGACTACCAATTCTTTAATGCACCGTTGGTCAACAATTCAACTTGTTGTGAATAAGTTTTGTGGATGGTATGCTCACATTGAACAAAGACAGCAAAGTGGTCTCGATGAACAAGATAAGGTAACATTATATGTGAAATTATACATACATATGTATATTGTTTCATTTTATAATTCAGTTACTTTTTTTTATATACTTTTGCAGATCTTACAAGCCAAGAAAATGTATGAGAAAATAGTTGATCAATGATTCACATTTCTGCATTGTTGACATGAATTGAAGCACCATCCTAAATGGTTGGTAGATTATTCCAAAAGAAAGTTAGAAAGTGCTACAACAACTTCTCCCTCCACTCCAATATTAGTAGAAGAAGACAATTTGACTTCAACCTTTTTCGATTTGGAGAGGCCTTTAGGTAAAAAGGCTGAAAAGGAACGATTGAAAAGGAAAAAGGGAAAAGACCAAATTTATGACAATATGACTATGCCTACTTTATTGCTCTTAGAAAAATACATAAAAGAGAAAAAAGAAATGGAGAGCAAGAGAATGGAATTTCAAGAACGGATTATTATTCAAGAGCAAGAAAAGATTATCATTTCGCAAGCTAAAATTCGAAAAAGAGATGAGCAAGAGGAAGAAAGGATAATATTACAAGATACAACTGGGATGTCTCAAATGCTAGAAAATTATTATAAGGGATGTGAAATGGAAATCTTTACAAAACGAATGGGGAGTTAAATTTAAAGAAAAATTAGGTATTAGACATAAAAATCTTTACAAATTAGGATTTGAGACATATAGTATTTCTGTTTGGGTTTTGATATATAGGAATCAAATTTTGTTTTAGATTCGGCCACAAATGAGGCCCAGATTCATTGGGCCTATCTAAATTATAAAGAATTAAAATACAATTTTACCTCTTTTTGTTTAAAAGCCTAAAATCAGATCTCTCTTTCTCTATTTCTCTTTCTCTCTCTCTCTGTCTATGATGTCTAGCTGAAAGCTCTCTGTCTTTTCTTCCTCGCTCTGAAAGCAGCATAGTTAATCTTAGCGTCGTCCAAAGAGCTCTTTCTCTTCTTCCTCACGACGAGTCTACTCCAAAGTAAAGCCCCCATCATCGAAAACCAGACTAAACCAGGGACCACACCAGACTCGCCGATCAAAGTGCCACCCGGTTCTTCGCTAAAAGCCTGAGCTTGGCAGTAGCAAGAAGCCCTGATAGGACTCATCCAGGCTTGGCTTCGGAGGTAGACTCGTTTTTCTGTGACGACAAAGTACTGTGAATCCATACAGTGCGTCATTGGTGGTGGCTAGTTCCGGCGAAGGAGGGTTGATTTCGAAGATTAGAGGAGGGCAATTCTCTCTATCTGGTTCTTCTTTCTTTGTCATAGCTCTCTCTCATTAAGGTTGTTCTTGGGGAGGCACTGAATTGTATTGATTTTGAGGTATTTATGTTTATGCAATTTCTTCTTCGTAATTGTGGACAGTTGGAAAATGGTATGTATTGATTTTGAATAATTGTGTAGTTTGATGACAGTTGGAAAATAACTTTTTTCTTGCTCTAGATTCTGCGATGCTGTTGTGATATGATCTGCATAGTTGTTGTTAATTCTTTTTATTTGCTTGTGTTTGTGTAAATTTGGGAATAGTCACATTGTTTGTACTGAATTTTACTTCATTAAATTGGTAATCATTGCTAATAGTGATGTATAGGCGTAAAGATCTGACTTTTTGGTTCAATTTTGATTGGTGGTTGATGTGCAAAGTGTTGGGGTTTGATTTGGACTAGGAAGGGAGTTTGCATTGTGTGAGCTCGCACTGTAGCATTTGCACTTTTTTGAACAGTGTTTGCTTGTTTGTGAAGAGAGAGTGGGTGTGTGTGTGTGTGTGTGTGTTGATGGACAACTAGGGATTGGATGTTAAGGAGTTGAGGTTGTGATGCTACTTAGGCAAAACTGCTAGGTTTTGTCGTAATTGGAAGGAGGATGACTTCATAGAGGAGGGATTCGCATTTGAAAATGCAGATATGTTAGCCTTAAAATACTATGAATTTGGATAGATCTGTTGTCTTAATACAATTTTTGTTCCTATTTGCTTTGGTTTTGCTTGGAACTGAATGACATCTTTTGCTCTCTGTTTGTAGATGGCTTCACATATAATGCAAGATTTATCTTTCATCTCAAGTGTTAATCGTGTGACAGCGAAAGAAAAGCTTTGTAGGACCCATGTTTCTATCTTCCACATTTACTCGTGATATACGGCTCTATTTTTCTATTTATTGTCTCTCTTTCTCAATCACATTCGGAATCGAGTTCTTTGACATTTGTATTGGTGGTGAGGTATTTTTAGTTGATCTCTCCAGTATTGGTTTCATTTTTATCTATTTTTTTCCCATGTCTTTTCATTTTTGCATTTTGTTATTGAACCGCGCAACTTCAACAGATTACACTTGACCAAGATAAACACATGAATATAATTACATCCATATACTCTGTTTAACTTCAAAAACATGTTAATGAAATTGTGAATTATTACACTCTTATTGTGGATTTGATGTAATGGTGTCTTCTTCTAAGTTGTACTTTGTCTCGAAGACTCTAGCCAAGCAAGCTGCATGGAAGTCAAAGAAAACAACATTGATTTCATTACCATTATCCCAACTCTTGTGATTGGTCCATTTTTCATGCCTTTCATGCCACCACGCCTCATCACCAGACTTTTCCCACTCACTGGTACCCCAAAAAAAATTACAATGTTTTAATTACTTCATGAATTATTCTCCATAGATTAACCAAATATTGCTTAATTATTACAAGAAATGCATCTCATTATTCGATTATAAAGCAGGGGCAGTTCGTTCACTTGGACGATGTTCACTTGGACAACATCACTCTAGTTGGTTTCCTCTCGTGAATTCTTCATCTTTTGTGGATATTTGATTTTAGAAATATGCTTTATATTTGTAAAGCGTTCAGTTTGTTTTAGTTTATGGGTTTTGTATTTTTCAAACCGCATTTTTTTTGTTGCATCAATGTAAGTAGAACTACTTAGATTGTTAGTTCTTCAAATCATCCTTTGTTATTTATGATTCTTGGAAGCACATCACTCTGAAAATAAACAAGGATTCATAATTATAAGAGTGTCGCTTTCACTTCGAGAAGATGCAAATGAAGCTACTTATATGATCTTTAGTTTAGGTGAACAAGAACATGCAATTTTAACCTGAAGCAGCATTCTTATACTCAATCGAGTTCTGGAAAACGAAGGGCGATCTTCAATGACACAAAATCTTCATCTTCTTTTTTCGGAAATTGCATTGTAGATAATAGGAACTGCATTGCAGAAAACGGAAATTGCAATGCAAAAACAGAAACTGAAATGCGAAAAACGGAAACTGCATTGTAGACAATAGGAACTGCATTGCAAAAACCGGAAATTGCAATGCAAAAACGGAAACTGAAATGCAAAAAACGACGGAAATTGCAATGCATAAACGGAAACTGAAATGCAAAAAAGGGAAACTGCAATGCGGACAATAGGAACTGCATTGCAGAAAATAGAAATTGCATTGTTCATCATTGATATCTACATTGTTTTTGTTTTAAAATCCCACTTAAATATGAGAAATTTTGGTTTTTCTAGAAACTGCAATGCATTTTTTGATCTTCTTTTTCTATTACAGTATTCATGTTTGGATGTGAAGCTCAGTTTTTCTATTGTTGAGGTATGTATATTCTTGATCAAATTGTTATTTGAATTTTCTAGTTTTTTGTTTTGTTTTTATAAGTTTGTTGACACCATGTTGACCTCACCTTCCCCCTTAAGCAAATCCCACCAATTAAGGAATAACCCTTGCTTGTCATACATCACATCCCACCAAACAAGGAGTAGCTAGTCATGCCTCCTCCTATGCCTTCTTAAGCAAATCCCACCAATTAAGAGGAGCCATGCAAATGTCCCAGCCATCAATCAACTTTGTCTACTCCAACTTGGACTATATAAGGGAGTTCACCACCTCCAAGCAAGAGGATCGGCTGCAACTTCTTCACTTCTCCAAGAGTTGTCCAAAGTTCTCCCAAGCTTTCTATTTCTCTTCTACTAGAGTTCTCAAGCCTCTCTCCCCATATTTCTCTAAGGTATAATGTAATCTTCATATTTAAATACAAATATAAAGCTATAAACTACAATGAATGTAGCCCCATTATGGGTGAACCACTCAAACACTTGTGTTATGTGTGTGATTATGTCTTAATTCGTTAGGTACAAATTTTCCCATTAACATTTGGTGCCGTTTGTGAGAAATGCGGCAAAGATCCATGTCGCTCTCACCATTTTGTTACTGACCGTGAAACGCCTTGAGCAACCAAGAGGTCCACTAGAAAATCTGTTCTGATTGGAGGCAGCCCCTCATCTCTTGGTCTGAACAAGGCCTGTGACACATGAAGAATGCCCTTCTCTATCACGACACACCCAACCTGTTGCTCCAGCCAAGCAATTATGAAGACACCCATGTGTCTCCTCTGCCAAAAAATTTCAAGACACCCATTGTGTCTTCATCTACCTTCTATCTTTTATTTCACAACCTCATAGCACGGGCAGCCAAGCTAGGTGCTCGCTTGCAAGTTTCCACCGCCACCCAGCTTCGTCCATGTCACTCATTGGTTTATACCAGACTAGGTCCCACTACTGCTAGACTTGGGGGCTTCTCTCTAAATACAAACACCCAATCGGCAACCTCATCCATTTGTCTAGGCATGATTAGTACCATGTGCCTTTCACCTCAATTCCATTCTCTTTTGTGCTGGGTCCGAGACCATTCGAAGAAGATAAGAAATATATTCTCTCATTTGGTGATTTTACAATAAAATAATATGCAACATAAATATATGGATATAAATATCTCAACTTAATATCTGTGATGGGCTGTCATAACATAATATCTTATGATATTATATTGTTATTATGTGTCAATACATGAACCAAATTATGACCATTCTACATGGTCGCCCGCCACTTTGTATGGCAGACCCGACCATCGTGGATGAGCGCCGACCACCTTGCATGGTTGCCTGCCACTTTGCATGGCAGACTCGACCACCGTGGATGAGCACCGTCCACTTTGCATGGTAACCCGCCACCTTGCATGGCCGACTTGAGGCAAAAGATAGTGCAGCAGGCAAAATAAATGGTGTTTAACAATTCTCACATGCTCTACGAAAGAGATAACTCAGCACCACACCTCCAGTATGCTCAAACCAGCTCAATACCACAACTACAATGTGCTCGGCTCAGTATTACTCATGTGTGGATAGAAAGACACCACCTTACCACCTTGCATGGCCATCTATACCACCTTGCATGGCCATGTACCTTCTCTCATAGCCCAATCTCTCGTGGGTCAGTGAAGCAAAAATGGTGACAAGAGGATAAAGCCTCTCTCCCCTATTTCACGACATAGATTGGCCAAAAAGATCAACAAGCAACATAAAGTAAAAAGTTTTCGACATGGCAAAGACGCCGAACAGGTCCCATGGATGTCGACCAAACCTTGTCAATGTCGTTGACCTGATCTCATCGTTACCGACCAGACCTTACTACTGTTGCCGACCTTACCCACTTAACCTCAGCAAAACGTGGTAGCCAGGTTGGGGCATCTCTTAGCGAAATATTTGCTCAAGGCACCCATGCCCTCTTTTATCTCAAAGACACCAATAATCTCTCCCCATACTCAGATATAAAGCAAGAGCAGCAAGTGAAATAAGAAAAAGGTGGAAACGGCTCGGCTTAGCCCCTAGCCACCCAATGTAGCGATCAAGTGGGCTTGGCTCCATCGACCACCCAGATTCACTAGTGGCTCCTCCATTCCATTTGGGCCAGGTCCCACCACTGCGTCGACCAGCACCATGTCAACGAACACCATGTTGAGGGACACCACGTCGCCCAACACAATATGGCAGAGCATCACCCCATCGTTCCTAGAGGAGCGGACCACTATAGTCTACAACGACCACTTAATTTGCAACCTTGCTGGACTCGAGGGCTCATATCTACAAATACAAACACCCAGTCAACAACGGCATCCCTATTGTCTAAACATGCACAATTTCATGTGCTTTGTTTGAGGCCACCCAAAGCAATAAGAACAACTTTACCTCATGTCTACAGGTTCAAAATATTATACCTTTAATATCATATTATAAATATTGTTATGCACCATGTGATAAAATCTGAAATGGCATAATTATTATTAATTATAATCCCAAGGAGTAATACTCATATGGGATCACATAAGGCTAAGACCATTTCGGGTAGCCTACCTATTATACTACTTGCTAGCATATTGTGAGATATATAGCATGGATTTTTGTGCTCAACTCTGGGAGAGAGTTCTCGCATGCATGCTATAATTATTCCTATGCCACCAATACATGTACTGCTCGGCACCTAAGTTGCAATGGAATGTACTTCATATAATTATACTTGACACTGTTTAATGGTAATACGCGCCTATGTGATTATCTTTCACGAACTCAATGGTACTCACCCATTTTTTTATGACATTATGCCATATGCACTGCCCCAATACTCGGCTAAGCACAAACATTCTCCAAAGTGCTACTACATCACCGAACAACTAAGTCCACAAAGGGGTACCTTACCAACAAAAGATATTCGCCCATAAAATGGGTTCTCCATTATCACTATCACAAGTTCAAAACGACATCGAGACCAAGAGGCTTGAACGACATTGAGATCGAGACGGCCGGAACAACATCAAGACCGAGATGGCTCAAACTACATTGAGACCGAGATGGCTCGAGCGGCACCCTCTCCACCTGGTACCACCATGGTCAAAGCTAGATAAGGAAAATATTATCTCCATATATGTGCTCGACTTAGCCACACTATCTCCAATATATCTCGCCATGCTTAAAGAGATGGAAAATTATATCTTCATATATGTGCTCAGCTCAGCCTTATAATCTCCATACAGGTGCTCGGCTCGGCCTTATCATATCTTCACATATGTATTCGGCTCGACCTTATTATATCCATTTGTGTGCTCGGCTCGGCACCCTCTCCATTTTGTCACACCATCTCCAATATGTCTCGCCATGCTTAGAGAGAGAAAATGATCTCCATATATGTGCTCGGCTCAGCCTTATTATCTCTATTTATGTGTTCGGCTCGGCCTTATTGTCTCCATATGTGTGCTTGGCTCTACACCTTCTCCACCTTGCCCTACCATGGTCAAGGAGAAGGAATATTATCTTTATATATGTGCTCGACTCGGCCAGACACTGGTCTTACTTGAAAGTCCCTAGCCAAGAAGCTATTCTCGACTGTGAACTTGGGGGCTTCTGTCGACACTATGTTGACCTCACTTTCCCCCTTAAGCAAATCCCACCAATTAAGGAATAACCCTTGCTTGTCATACATCACATCCCACCAAACAAGGAGTAGCTAGCCCCCCTCCTATGCCTTCTCAAGGCCCAAGACCCTAAATTAAGAGGAGCCATGCAAATGTCCCAGCCATCAATCTGTCTACTCCAACTTGGACTATATAAAGAGAGCTCACCACCTCAAAGCAAGAGGATCGGCTCCAACTTCTTCACTTCTCCAAGAGCTGTTCAAAGTTCTCCCAAGCTTTCTATTTCTCTTCTACTAGAGCTCTCAAGCCTCTCTCCCCATATTTCTCTCATGTACAATGTAATCTTCATATTCAAATACAAATACAAAGCAATAAACTACAGTGGATGTAGCCCCATTATAGGTGAACCACTCAAACACTTGTGTTATGTGTGTGATTATGTCCTAATCCGTTAGGTACAAATTCGCCCACTAACAAAGTTGATTTTTCTAGTACTTTCATCATGATTTTGCCTTTTAGTTCCTCACTCATTAGTAGGTGTATTTTTGCCCAGACTCTGCATTGCAGTTTCTAATTTGGTTATATGATTTTATTGGTTTTGGTTGTTTCTTACTAGTTGTTGTCATGAATCTTTTAGTTTTCAATTGCTGATTTGATTAGTTTAGGTTTCTTTTTACTAGTTGTAGTCAGGTAGTTTTTGGTTTTTAGTTATTTTGGGATGTGGCTTACTAGGTACTGCATTGTAGTTTCTATTTTGATTACATGATTTTATTGGTTTTGGTTGTTTCTTACTAACTGTTGGCATGAATTTTTTGGTTTTTAGCTTTCGTTTTTGTTTGCAATTTCTGTTTTCATTTATAGTTTTTGTTTACATTATTGATATCTACACTATTTTATTTTGTATAACTCTAGAGCTAAGCATAAGGGATTTGGTACAAATTTTGCACGTATCGATGTTGAAATAATTTTATAAAAAAAAATCATTGACTGTTAATATAAATATTGCGTAACTGACAAAATTTCATAAAAATAAGGTTGGTGTAGTGGTTTGTGAATGAGGCTACTCTCCTTTGAGGGCCAAGGTTCGAGTCTCTTCAAACACACTAAATTTCCCATTCTTTTAAGTATGAAGGCAACATAGATGGTTGGCTGGTAGCTGAAGGAGTGGGTGGAGGGCAATGGCGGCTGGCAAGAAGGGGGATTGCCGGAGGTGGACATGTGGCATAATGTGCTTGACTTAGAAGGAGTGGCATAGTGTGCTTGATTTAGAAGGAGTGGGTGGCGGTTAATGGCGGCTGGCCCAAAAGGGGAATGCCGGAAGTGAACATGTGGTGTAGTGTGCTTGACTTAGAAGGAGTGACATTCTGCGTAATTTTGATGTTTTTTTAATTACATTATTGTAAAATTAGGTACTACTTTTTGGTCTTTGGCCTTATGCTAATCAGGTGAAATTGTATTCCTATCTTCCAAATTAGTAAACTATATAGTGTCTTAAAATGACAGGTCCCTAAATTTAAATTGTTTCTGTAGTTTATTATTTGGGAATATTCAGTATTTGAATATGAACATTTTATTGCAAATCAAGAATTAAATTTAAAAAGAAGTAAAGAATTTATGACAAAAAGAAGTAAAATATTTATGGCTCTCTAAATTAAGGAGTATGGTTGGAGTTGAAATTTGTTAGAGAGCTCTTAAGATAGCTTTTTTGTATTTCTAGCTAAATTTTAGCTAAGAAATAGGGAATATAATTGTGAATGCTCTTATTACATTAGAAAATAAAGCTTATCAAAATAGTCGAGAGATATTTAGGGGGGTATATTCAATTAGGATTCTAGAGTATCTTAAAATAATTTTTTAAGTGCCAAATTTCGTGGAACTCTATGGAACTTTAGATTTCACATAGACTCAAGAAGAGTTCTATATAATTTTATTATAAGATTTGTATGAGTTTTATTTCGTACTTACATAATTTTTTTAACATATATGTTTAAATGAATGTTAACATTGTGTCACGGCCCGCATGTTCAAGGCCCAGCCCATTTGATTGATCATGCTAGACCTCTTAGCCCACATGTCTAGATTCGATGTACAATAGTAGGTAGACTACGGTTGGTGACAGTAGTAGGTAGATGCCGGTAAGTGACATTGTATCTTAGCCACCTACTGTGGTGGTAGGTGGGATAGGAACAATATATAAGGAGGATGTCACATTGTGTATCCTCACCTCACAACTTATAAAGCATTTAAGTAGCAATACTAGCATATATTCTCCCAAACTCTCTTAAGCTTTCTTATTGTTCTTACTCTTGCGATTGTTCTTGCTTTGTTCGATCTTGTGTTGTAGGAAGGAGGTTGACTTAGCTTGTTCGAGAGGTGATCAAGTCTAAGGCTACACGGAAGGAAGACTCCGAAAAAGTCATCCCGTGACAATTGACATCCTTACCCAGACAATCAAAAAGCCAAGAAGAGATGTTTGCTTTCCGTCGATTGGAAAACCTCTTCTAAAACCCCAAAATTGACTGCAACTTCCAATTTCTATTTCATTTGGCCAAAATGTTAGCATCAACAACCCAAGCATCCCTGCAGTCAAACTACCTCATCTCCTCCAACCCTTACCCTCAATCTCAAACACACACATGGAAGTCATTTCAGTTGAAACCACAAAACCCAGAAACAGAAGGCCAAGACCCTTCTTTTCTTCGACCCATTTCCAAAGCCTTAACCCCAAATCATGCTCTTTTCGTACAGTCCTCACAAAGCTTAGTGGTAGTGGTGGTGGTGGTGCATCTGATGCCACCCCACAAAAGTATACTGTTGATTTATGATTTATGGCTCAACTTGTCCACTTGCACCAAAAGCATATTCCAAGTGGGATAGCTGCAAAAGAATAATAGCTTTAGCAGAGGAATATTGGGCTTTGGCAGAGATGGGAGCACATGGGAGACAAAAGCCATACAAATATGGTTGGCTTTCTGACTTCGGAGCTGGCCTCTTAACTTTATTAGTTGGCCTTCACTTGTTGGCTTCTCAATAAATGGAGAAGCATGGCAACAGCTGGAGTCGAGGAGTAGAGGGAGAGAAACAGCAAGAAGCCATTCGGCCAGAGAGAAGAAAATTCTCTCAAGTTGTCTTTGCTTTGTATTTTCAGTTTTTTCTCTTCCTATTGTGAGTGTGTGAGCTTGGGTTATTTGGGTCTTTGGGAAATTGAGTGATAAACACTATTGTATGTTCTCAATTATTATAGTGGAATACTCCGTCGTCTCCAAACTGGGTGTAGGCATGGCCAAACCAGTATAAATCTTGGTGTTCTTGTTGGGGTTGTTTTTATTCTTCTTATCTCTTTTCAGTTGTTGTAATTTATTTTCACTCACAGTTGGTTGACGCTTCCGCACAACATATACTCCTACTGTAAGTTCTCATCCCCATACTTTTATTATTATCAATAATTCTATTTTTGGTGATTAATATATTTCATGAGGAGGAAAATTGTTAATCTGATTCTTGCCACTTTTTATTTTATGGATACCGAAGAGATAAAGTCTAGTTCTTTGGGTGATGATTATGATGCCTTGTTTATTCGGATGCTTGGGCTGGACCATGATTCTCTTGATAGAGACCAGGCAATAGTGGCATTCTTGAAATATTCACTTGTAGGAAAGAAGTATGTTGATGCCATTATGCAGTTTCCTGTCCAGTGATTTAGCGAACAATTCTTATAAAGTTGTATACATATATTTGAGAAGAAAAACAAACATAAACCTTAACCCCAAGCTAAACCATAATAACAAGTAAAACCTGTAACCCCAAACTATACCCTCATAACAAGAAAAATATAAAATGAAGAAAAATCATGGAAAAAGAAAACCCAACGAGGTATTGATCAAAGAAAAGATAGGGTACCTTTACAGATGGAGGAAACTGTTCATTTTTTGCAGAGAGAAAAGCTAGGGCATATGCAGAGAGAAACTAGAGTCTGATGAAATGGGCGGTGGGGGGGGGGGGGGGGGGGGGGGGGGGGTGGGTTGAGGTTTTTTATACCTTTCACCTTAAAATCTATCAAAATTTATCACTCAATGAAATCCTTCCAAATATATGGATTTTTGAATACACCTAGATTTTATTAAACTTTTTTATAATCTTAATTGAATACACCCATATTTGTACGGACTTTTTAAAAGTTAATACAAGTCTGAATTGAATACATCCAGACTTGTAGAAACTCTTTTAAAGTTCGTATAAATCCAAATTGAATACACCCAAATTTTTAAAGTCTTTTTAAACTTTCTAGAATCCTAATTGAATCCACCCCCATTAGTCATATACCCATTCTTAGCACAAAAAATATAAATAAACCCTACACCATTTAAACAAACACAAAAAAAAACCCAAAAAATAACATATCTATTTAATTTAATTTTAATTATTAAATTACTTTGATGCCCTATTGAGTGTTTTAGGTTTTTTTAGGAGGTTTTGGGGTTGGGCTTGTTTTAAGAAATCAATGACAGTTTTCTAATTTATAAGAAGTTAAAAGCATATTTGTTATGTTGTAAATGGGCTTTGGGTGTGTTTATAAAGCCCATTTCATGTAGGGTATTTTTGTAATTTGAACCCCTATATTTGGTATAATAGTAAATCTCCCAATAGTCAAAGGACTTACATCAATGAACAATAATGACTATAACCAATTTTATTGTTTTGTTGGAAATGACTACAACCAATTTGGGGATACACATTTTGGACCTATATCAAATTATGTATAGTTTTAGAGTTAATCATTTATTGGTTCATGAACTTAGACCCGATTTGCATTTAAGTACCTCAATTTCCGAAATGGTTCCCGTGGTCCTTTAACTTCACTTTTGTTAGACAAATGGTCCTACCGTCAATTTTGTTAACTTTTTCTGTTAAATGCAGGGGCAAAAATGGTATTTTATATTAAAACCAAAAAAATGAATTTAAAAAAATCATATCTTTAAAATAAACAATAAAAGAAAATAAAAAAAAAAAAAAAAAAAAATTGAGAGGAGTTAGAAATCGGGATAGAGGGTGAGAGAGAGAGTTCAATTTTAATTTTTTAGTTTTTTAATTTAATTATTTATATTTTAATCAATTTTTAACAAAATATCATTTTGCCCCTGCATTTAACAGAAAAGTTAACAAAATTAACGGTAGGAACGTTTGTCCTAACGAAATTGAAATTGAAGGACCAGGAGAATTATTTTGGAAATTGAGGTACTCAAATGCAAATTGGTTCTAAGTTAACGATTAACCTATAGTTTTAAGTAAATTTAGGTTTCACCCAAAAAAAAAATTTCACTTTTGGAAAAAGCTAAAACTTTTTCAAAAAGGACAGAAAAATCTTTCAAGTTTTAAATCAAATCATGCAAATGTAAAGGATTCCTTAGGAAATCCAAAAATAAATAAGGGTAATTTTGTCCATTTTGACTTCTTTTACAAAATTTCTCGCCCCTTTGTGTTTAATATCTCCCCGTGCCCCACCCGTTTGCCAACTCTGATCCGGGTTTTAACTCTTTTACTACAGTCCAGAAAGGAAGTCTCGCCTATACATCTCTCTCTCTCTCTCTCTCTTTCATCGACTCAAAGGAAAGGAAGAAGCTGCGAGAGAGATGGAGTCGGACGAAGAACAAGAGTGGGTCCCATTGAAGAATAGACCGGAGTGGTCGGACGTCGTTCCGGTTGAGCAAGACGACGGCCCGAACCCGGTCGTCCCCATAGCCTACAAGGAAGAGTTCACAGAGACCATGAACTACTTCCGAGCCCTCTACAGAGCCGATGAGCGATCCCTTCGTGCCCTTCAGCTCACCACGGAAGCCATCAAATTGAACTCAGGAAACTACACTGTGAGCTTCGTCTTTGAATCCCAATCTCTGCATCTTTTTCCGCTTTCCAGTTTTTTGAGATTTGTTTGGGTGGGGCAGGGAAGGGTTACTCTGTTTGGTTGCTCAGAAATTCTGGGAAAGTGAGATTTTGTGTATTCTGACATTAATAGTGTTAGTTTCTCTACTTGAAAGTCTGTCTTGAAGTACCCAAAAACTTTACTGAGGATTTTTCTTTTCTATTTTAAATCGTTGGAGGTTTTCTTTTTCTTTTTCCTTTTATGCTTTGTTTGGTTGCTGATAAATACTAGGAAAGTGTGAAAGGAAGGTACTTATCGAGGTTTAGTATCTTGTCATTCATTAGGAGTTGATCATAATTCAAAATCCCATAGTTTTAGTGGGTTTTTTTCATTTTTGTTTCTTTGGTTGATGAGAAAATCTGGAAACTGAAAAAGATAACTCTACTAAGTAGTTTGGCATCAATGGGATGTTGGGTAGTCGTGAAATACGGACAAAATTCGTAGTGCAGTGTTCAAATTGTCTTTTTCTTCTGTGCAGGTTTGGCATTTCAGGCGTTTAATACTGAAGGCGCTTAGTGCTGATTTACAGAATGAACTTGATTTCACTGAAGATATTGCAAAGGCTAACTCAAAAAATTATCAGTTATGGTGAGCTACAAGTCTTTCTATACTTTGTTGCCATTGAATTTCAGCTGGATAATTGTTCTATCTCCAATATGTGTGTCTGTGTGCATATGGTGTTCGAGTTTTCAACTATGCTTCTGTTTCAAGTTTAGATGGGTATGATATTGATCTTTAATATAGTCTATTTGGCATATGCATGAGCTCTCCAACAGGCCAGAGATTTCTGGCAAAGAGCCTTGGTTACATTGATGTTGGACAGTTTAGGTTGTAACTTGTAAGCAATTTGAACTTACTATTGCAGTTGCTTATAGCTGCTGATTATGAAATCTTCAAGGAATATGGACAACGATTATTGTCATGATTCATACCTCAGTAGTTAGTAGTCTCTGATGTCAGTATTTTTATTTTCTTTCTTTACTGCTTCTATTAAGTTACGTTGTCATCAAATATTTCCTTAAAACATCTATGAGTTTACTAGCACTCCATAATTTATGAAAGATACTTGTAGGCATCATAGACGGTGGGTTGCTGAGATATTGGGAACTAATGCTACAAGGCAGGAACTTGAGTTCACCAAGAAGATACTTTCCCATGATGCTAAACATTATCATGCTTGGTCTCATAGGCAGGTATGTTTCTTCCTTTGACCCCATTGTGCTGAATGCAAGACATCAGGATCTTCCTTGTATTTGTTTTTAGACCTGATTCTTATTAACGGATGAGCACTTTGAGCACCATTGCTCTTAGTGTATACTTGGTATTTGGGTTTTACAAACAGGATTTTATTTTCATTTTTGTTTGTTTGTTATGCAGTGGGTTCTTCAGGAGCTCGGAGGGTGGGAGGATGAACTTGACTATTGTCATGAGCTCCTTGAAGAAGATGTCTTTAACAATTCTGCTTGGAATCAGGTATGCACAGATTATAGATATTCTTTAGCTGCCATTTGGTTCTAAGCCTCTAACCATATAAACGCAGAAAATGAAGTTATAGCCTTGTCTAGAATGTGGAGCGTTAGGATAACTGCACATATTGCACGTTGGATCTATATTTTTATAAAAGAAGAAACAAAGAAGCGTTAAAAAACCCAACAAACTAATCAGTCAACAGCAGGCTGCCAGTCAAGTAGAATGGATGGTAAAGGAACATCCCTAAATTCTGATGAAATTGATGCCCAAAGAGAAGAAAGAGCCCTCACTCTTTCCCAGAGCTCCTCAATGTCCACGCCCCTATAACCATCAAAATTCCTTTTGTTTCTCCCTGACCAAATTACCTACAAAACAGCGAACCTACAACATCCACACTAGAGTCTAGACTTTTTCCCTTTGCCAAAAGCTTCAGTGTTCTCACTCAGTAAAGAGTAACAGTCTGCAGGGATCTCCCGACTTAACCTTGCTTCCCGAAATAAAGCATACCACAACTGTAATGGTATTGGACAATGAACAAAAAGGTGATCAGCAGTCTCCCCCTTCAATATTTGATGATTGATCTATTGCATTGTTACGTTCTTCATTAGGAGATACTGCAGGCATCGAAGGATGTAATCTAGAACCTTCTAATCTTTTTAGATTTTCTGAAAGAAAATTTTTTTAAAAAAAAACGAAAGAGCTTGTGGTCTGGTCATTAGTCTAACTAGAAACAGCATTGCTATTCATCTTCCCACTGGAATTTGCTACTCGTAAACAGTAGAGAAATGCCTTCATGTAACCAACGAAATGCCCCTTCTAAGTCTTATAAATACTGCATTATGCCCTTCTGCTCTTGTTCAAGTGCTTTTGAGGTTTGAACAGTAATTATCTGTATGTTCACTTTGCTTTGTGTGTATTAGTGCATGTTTCTTCTTTGACCCGGATATGCTTGTTTATAACAGAGAAATTTTGTCATTACAAGATCTCCATTCCTGGGAGGCCTAAAAGCTATGAGAGAGTCTGAAGTGTCTTATACTCTGAAGGCCATTGTAGCCCACCCTGAGAATGAAAGTTCATGGAGATACCTTCGGGGGCTTTACAAAAATGACAATCAGTCTTGGATGAAGAATACTCAAATATCTTCAGTATGCTTGAAGATTTTAATTGCCAAAACCGACTGTATCTTTGCTTTAAGCACACTTTTGGATCTCATATGCCATGGTTTCCAAGCAAGCCAAGAGTTCAGAGATGCCGTGGATGCTCTAAGAAATTCAGACTTGGCACAAGCAGAATCTGACTTGGCCAAAACTATTTGCTCTCTCTTGGAAACGGTCGATCCAATAAGAGTTAACTATTGGAAGTGGCGTAAGAGCATGCTTTGCCAAGATGCTAACTAATAGAATTGTGACTGAATAACGTGACTTTTGCAGCACATCCATCCATTAATTAAAGATTCTAGTCGAAGTTGAGTGCAATCTCATGTGTTTTCGTGGATATATATGTTGTAATAGTAGAAAAACCTTGTGTTGCAATCTGATGATCTTTTGACACCAAAATCTAATTTTAAATTGTGGAATGATTGTGATAATGTACATGATGCATATTTATCCCAATGGGAGCTTATTTGTATCGATAAGGTGTCAATATCATTGTGAATATTGATACATTCCAATAGCAACCATGATAGGAACAGGAATCGCTACGGAAGCCAAAAGAAGTAAACCTTTTTTCTTTTCTTTTTACATAGATTCCAACCTAAACACCTGCTACTTTCCCACACTCCAACCCAATGTTACTGGAGCAAGAAGTCATGAGCATAATTGAGGATCAATAAGAGAAAAATGAGGGACAAATAATGTCGTCAAATTTTTCTAAGAGGGAATAATTGAGCGCTTTCTTATGAAGTTTACAATACCGATCTAAATTCTAATAGCAAATGATAGAAGTTGAAAATAAATTCCTGTGAAGCCTTTGGACATTACTTTCATTTAACAGGAAAAATTGTTCCAACTGAAACAGTTATAAATCCATATCATTTCACATCTCTAGGTTTGATGTCGACTTTGCCGTCAGAAAAGTGTGCCTTCAAATGATTTTTTAACATAATATTTCATATGTCGTCCCCATTTAGGTTTGAAGAACCAGACGTTAGTATTAATTATTTTTTATTATACTTTTTTTTTAGTTTTAATTATTAAAATAATACTTTTTTCCAGTACGAGTGAAGAGGAGAGTTGAGCATATCATTAAATTGCCACGTAAACCTTCAAATTTTATATTTGACATCTCCCTTAGAGATGCTCAAACACATGTCAACAAGTGTGTTTTTTTTCCTAGCTAAGTCTTTTGCCATTGCGGAAAACCAGGTTTCAATTTGATCCTTGAATATGGAGTTGTAGGGCAAAGCTCAGGTGTCTGTTTTCTGTTAGAAAACCCTCCATCTGTTTAAATAATGCTTTTTAGCAAGACTGGAAATGATATAGGCATCTTACTTCTGCTACCAAAATCATTTATCATGATCTTCCAATTATACTTCAATGAAAATTATATAGATCTTGACCACCTGAATTTGTTATACAATGCCCCAAAAACTATGCCACAAAAACTCTCCCAATTGACACCCTTTCCCAATTTGCATTCCCCTTTTGCCCAAGTACATGAGGTGGTAAGACACAATTTTACCTTGGCAATCCAAGAATCCATGAAATTGTTTAAGGTTGAGATATATGTACAAAAGGCAGACAGAAGAAGACATAAACTGATTCCCCTCTGAGATTCAATTTGTCAAAGCTTCTTGCTCAAACCAGACTTCTTTGACTTGGATGATGGGCTTGAGGCCTCTTTGAATGCAGATGGGCAAAACTCGTTTACACTGCACACGCCACAACGAGGTCTGAGCGGAGTGCAAACTGTCTGTCCAAATCCCACCTGTTCATATTAAAATAAGGAAGAAAATGCATTATTGTATAATATAACTACCCATCAATGGTGCATATTTGTGACGACAGAATAGAAGAACAAAGAAACAAAAGGTTATAGATAGACAAAAGGCAGTCAGCATTCAGTTCATTGGAAAAGTTTTAAGATCAAATTTATACCTGGTGAAGAATATCCTACCAAATGGTTTATTGCTCGGCATAAAAGTACTAGTAAAAAATGGTGAAGTAATAACTTCACATCAAAGACTCAGGAATGACCCCTTCTTAACCCATTTCTAGTAGAGGGTATGCTGTGGTATGGGAAGGGAAGCCACCAGTTCACCAAATGCAAACATGTGTTCGCACATCAACACACACGCAGTCAACATGTATGTATCATGGGTACAAACATGTGTCTGTGTGTCCACACTAGGTATTAAGGGGAAGTAATTTGTAAAATTTGTTTTAAACATGTCATTGGTATTGAGAAGTGAGCTATGCATACCAAAAGAGGGTTTATGGGGTCCCATTCTTCCTTCGGAAGCCACAATTGCAATGCCTCTCTCGTTTCCTCAGGATTTGAAGTTTTCTAGAAAAGAGATTAAAAATTATACATTGATGCAGTGTATATTTCAGTATAGAAAACAATATGCAAAATTTTGGAAGATCTTATTTATGATAATGAATAAAGTTTAGTTAGTACACAAGTGTGATGCATAGTACCTGTTTTCTGCCTGGCCGTGACACCCACCCAAGCCGATTGCTAATGCGGTGCACATGAGTATCTACACAAATTCCTTGGACATTGTTCCAACCCACATTCATAACCTAAGCACCCCACATCAGAAAACTTAAAGAACCGAAGATGGCATGCTAATTTAAATAAGTACAAACCAGCCCTACCAAATGAGCCATTTTAGGACCTATTCCTGGTAGTGAGAGTAGTTCGTCCAATGAGCTAGGTATATCTCCATCATACTTCGTGAGACAAATTTTTGCAATTTTCTTTAAGTTAGTAGCCTTTCTGGTATAAAACCCAACCTGCATTTAAGAATTTTAAAGATATGGTTAAAAATTTCTAAAATCGTTGAGCAAATTGAAAAAAATTACAATTTAACTTTGCATAGGTAGTAATTATGGGGGTTTACCCCCAATTTTGGACTAATTCTGGCCAAATGCGAAGTTTCTTTCTACACCATTTCTCAAGTGGAATTGAAATAACATACCGGGTAAATCAAGCCTTTAATGGTTGCTTCATCAGCTTTGTCAATGGAATCAGCAGAGAGCAGATTATTTTGAAGTAGACGCTGAATTGCACCTACACCCCAAAGAGACCATAGAGTGGCAGAAATATAACTGTAAGTAAGATGCAGAGCAACAACAACTGAGAAGACTCTGCTGAGCAGAAGATGAGTAACATGCACACTTTCGGTTGGGACCAATAGATTATAAAGTTCTATAATATTTAGATCCCCAAGTTATGTTTGATAGATTCAGTACCAGCCATTAGTCAACTGTGTCATGTAAAAGTGAAAATGGAAAAGCTTGCCAGGCAGTCTGATAGGAGAAGTATCAGCATGAAAACAAACAGCGGCGTAAAATAAGATATCTATTCGTTTTGTTTGATTATTTGTAGCAAGAATTAGACACCTTTCACCTTCTTTCCATATTTCCCGTCCACATACAAAATTTGTTCATCAAGGCTTTTTGTCAATGACAATGAACTTAAAATTGCATGAACTTGCATATTAAAAGACACAAGTGTTCAAACCTACCATGATTAACATGATCCTTCGTTTGGCTTGACAAGAGAGAAGACACCAAGACAGCAAATCTTCTTTCCTGATTTTATATTGTTTTTCATAGCATAACATAAATATTTCATGGAATAACAAAGCAATGATAATACAAAATCCATCAGAAGGCATTTTATCATGAAGTAAATGTTTGAAACAATCAAGATTAGGAATTGACAAGGGTAAAGCTATAGTTCTGGACTTCGCTAGATGTTAAGATCATGGCTATCAAGGGGTTACTTTATCAATACCTTCCTTAACATTATTTGAAGCCAATATGTATCACCATGAAACAGAAACAAAGATTTTAATCCGGTAAGTTGAAATCTTCCTTAAACCTACCCAACCTGATTTCATTCGAATTTTTATTTACGGAAGTGAGGAGAGTTATACCTTAGGAGGAAGAGCACTTCCAGCTTTCTCACAACCCATACTGTCTACTGGTGCATCTTCAGAAGACCTCATTTTGCGGATCCCTTCAAGGACTTTCTCCCAGTTAGCAGGTGGTTTACCTGTGTCAACTGAAATGAACAACTTAAGCTTATTTACACTGACATGTAAGAAATATATTTATATCGGTAAACCAGTTGATTGATAGTTCATCTTCTTCCTACTAGAGGCAGACATTGTCCTTCTCTGCTACAATTAGGGTTAGCTTTATGTGCAATTATTCAAATTCAAAAATCCTCTTCATCATTTGCCATTCTTGGAAAGTATACATAATATATTTTGACGGTAAACCTAATGGGGGAATCCTCTTTGTTACATAACATGCTTGGCCAGCAATCATGATATTTTATGTATACTTTCCCACCTGGATTAAATTTGCAGATGCATTTCTTAAGATGAAACCTCATCATGAAAGGTGCAAAGATTCCCACTAGTAAGAAATTCTGACAGAAACATAAAATTCTTCCTTAACAAAAAAAATAGAGTGCTAAAAATTCGTCAAAGGATTTAGTCTTGTAATAAAAGGCATGATGAAATGAAATGCTCAAGAAAGAAGAGAACACCATGCAATAAGCAGCACATTCAGTGTATTAATTCAAAATGATAAATGCACAAGGACTGCTCAAAAAACAACAATATTTTTCAGCTAGGTCAGAGTTCAATTCACAAAAAATTTTCTTAATGAATGGAATCCACTGGTATGAACGGAAAGTACTTCATAACTATTTTCATCTTGTCATCTATAAGCAAGAGCTCATTTCACCAGGAAACTAAAACACCCAGGAAACGAAAACACCTAATCATGTGTCATCAAAAGAGGTACTTACTTGAATTTGTAGATGCACTCACTTTTGTATATGCGAATTCTTCAATGTCAGGTGGTTCAGCGAGCTGCACGGAAGGAACTGATGATGTGAATTATGACTACTCCTTGCTTAAAAACTATGCAAGATTAGCTTCAAGGTAGCGCCATACATCATTGATCCAATTAATGCTACTCAACCTTAAGCAGTTGGTTATGGTTTTAGTTTAGCCCCACATTTTCTATATTGACTAAAGGTAAGTTTATTTAGTCCAACTAGACGCAAGATGAAACCAATTAGCCAGTAACATGTGCATTAACTCACATACCATTTCATACAAAATGTAATAATTTATAGCTTAAACTTCATTACTATAAAGTGAGGCTCCTTTTCTGGATGCAGAATATCACAGTTAAAACAAAATGGTTATTAGGTGTAAATAAATTGAAACCAAGTGTCAAAAGAAGAGAGGGGAGAAAATGAGGAAATGAACTTGTGGAGTGGGAGAACTGTATGCGTTGCACATATATGTACCCATCTAAAATCAGAATCCATGTAAATGCTAGTTTCAACTTTCAAGTAACAAATCAAGGATACAAACAATTAACACTTTCTAAAATGAAAGAACCCATGTATCCAGATAACGTCATTATATATGGAGCAATTAAAGAAAACCCATTTCTTGATTTATTAAGAAGTAAAAATTCTCACTTTTGGGGCATGAGGTTTTACTTCAAGATGTATTTTTTGAACTTCTGTCTTTTTTAATCTCTTTCTCCTCGTAAAAACACGAAGCTCGGGAGCTGAAACATCGTTGGAACCTTCAGAACCTGAAATTTTCACAAATAAAAGTATCCAACATTAAAACAAAAAGAAATGAAATTGGAATAACCCAAAACTAGTATTAAAAGGTAGACAATGAAAGCAATGGAGGGCAGCAGAGAGAGAATGTGAGGAAACTGCAGTTTGGTCTGACCTGGGTTTGGCTCTGAAGTGGGTATCTCTGTTTTCGATTGAATGGCAGAGAATCTTGTTTTGGGCATTCTGTTGAATTGGATTCGACCAATTGCAAAAGCAACCGTTGAGGGGCTACTCACACGAATTTGGAACATTTTGGGCTTGGAAGGATTATGGAGGATGTCATTAAGTAATATTTTTTTAATTCCAATTTCATTACGGACTTGGAACTGGAAAGGTTTACCTTAGATTTCAAATGATAGATTCCCACCTGAATTTTTAGGCATATAGTAGATTCCTACCTGAATTTTTAAGTTTTATTATTAACTACTTAATTATATAAAGTATTGCAATTTACTACATGCGTCAGCTTCTGTTTAATTCTCTATTAAAACATATCACGTGCCCAGTTATGGACCCAGGATCTGAATCCAGTAGAGTTATACTTATAGTATAAATGTTCCAAAGAAAATTTAAGAATGGGTTATTTTTCTTATCTATTTTTTCTCTTCCAAATTTTATTTCTTTCTTGGAAAAATATACTTTGAATGATTTCAATTTGTCATTTTTTTATGTATGTTTTTGAGTGATTTCAATTCATAAAATTTCAAAGCAAACCTATGCCAATTAACCAAAAAACCAAAAAAACCACAACCACCTAATCAACAAATAAGCAAAAACTTCATCCAACAAATCAAACCAATACATATAAATCATAAATTTCATCCAAGCAATTACAAATTTGATTTCCATTAAATTAAAAACAGCATACATCATCCTTATTTTGATTTTAAGATTTAGAACTTACTTGACATGAGAAATATCACAATTACAGTCGGTGGGATTGGGGAGCTTGGGGTTAGGATTTGAGAAAAGAATAATAGCAATTGGGAGATGTGGGGTTTAAGGGTTTTTGGGATGGGAAGATTGGTTGGGTCGGGTGGGAGAGAGTGGAGGGATACGTAAGGGTTTTTTATTTTAAAAATTTGCCTATGCCAAAATGACGTTGTTTTGCCCAATGTGTTAAAAAAAAAAAAAAAAAAAAACAAAACTTGCGTGTGGCTTTCTCCCTCTTTCTATCAGGCAAAACATCAAGCACTTAGAGGGCAATCCAAGGGGTCTGACAGCCAGCTCAAGTGGACCTCCAAACCTATTTCCATGGCTTCCATGGGGTTGTTTACCCCCAATGACCCTACTGTGGGTCCTCCTTGCATGTGCCTCTCTTGCATGAAGGGATATTTTAGTCCATCTACATATTAGGTCTAAGGACTTGTTTAGTCCTAAAATATCCCTTCACATAAGGAATACGTGATACATTGTGATGAAAAATTGTAGTTTAGTATTATTGTTATTATTTTCAACTTTTAGAAAATTGTTATGGCAATGCACTGACAGTGAGCGAAAGATATTTCTCCCAGAGTGGTTAACATATTTCTCACTTATTTTGTTGAACATAGAAATTCATTTTCTACATATTTCATAGTTTTGCAATTTTAAGTAAAAATGACAAAAATGCCCATGTATGTTTCATTATTTATCTATTCTAAAAAATAATAGTTTTATGCTCTAAATGCTTATTTCTCATATATTTGTGAGTGTAGAATTAACACGTGCAAGATTTGCACAACATCCAACCATCAAGTCACCCAAATTTTGTCCCCTAACTAGTACTTAGCAAATGCAAACCTAATTCAAATGAAACCAAATCCTAGCCTATAAATACAGCCTTTTGCTCTCAGACTTTCTAAGCATTCACACAAAGCTTCTGCTTACAAATATGTTATAAGTTAAAGAGAGAGACTTAGCACAAATACTTTTTTTTTAATCACAAACACTTTCTTACATTTTCATACTTTGGAGATCCAACTAAGGTTCCAAAACTCTTCAATTCACATCCAACACATTTTTCGTAAGTGTATGAGTACCTTTTTATAGTTCTTTGCCTTAAGAATTGGATTAAACAAGAAGAACCCAGAAATGCTTTTCAACGTCATGTATGTAACTCAAGTAATTTCATACTTATTTTCTATGATATTGCTTAAACCAGTTGTACTATCACAATCTACATGAAAAATGCTTCAATTTAGGTTTTTGAATCACAAAAAAAAATGTTTAGAAATGATAAAGTTAGAGCTAAAACCAAATTGATACAAAATATGGAAAATCCCAAATCACAAGAAGTTCTTGAGTTGTTCTCATGAAATTCTTAGTACTTTAAAGCTTACGAGATTAACTTGAATTTTTGGAGATTTTGGTGAATATATGAGTAACATGCTGAAAGATAGTGCACTATTATACTCAATAGAGGTTTGGTGATGACTCATATATTTCTGTGACTTGTACTTATTGGTCTAGTATGACTCATGATGCTATTTTCAAGTAATGAGTATATGCATGGGGATTGGGATGGTCTCTACTTAATATCAACATAATTAAGTTTTAATACTTTATCTTTACCTTTAAAAAATACAAGTGACTTGCACTATTATTTCGGTACTGTAAAAGTTTATGTATGAATAATTCACCCTTGATCATGAATAAAAGTTTGTATTTAAAAATAACTACAATGATTTTTTGTTTTAAATGGGGAAATTTTGTACTTAAAAATAAATGGGGGAAATGAGGGACATATAATAAAATAGAGTGGTGGAAAAAATCCTAGTTGTTCTCTCCCTTTGTGAGCCCCAAAGGAAAACTCCATAGGGAAAGAGATTGGGAGGAGGAGGAGGAGGAAGAAGCGTCATTGCCCCTCCTCTCTTCTCATTTTTTTCCTTTTGGGTTAGTGAATTAGTCCATTGAGGCGATTAGTGATGGAAAGGCTACACAAATTCTTCATTCTTACAAACTAGTCGCTTTTTGTATAGGGGTCGCTCTCTCGCACGCACGTGAGGAGAGCTTAGCAATATTTTTAGGGTTAGGGTTTCTTCTTACTTCGTGGTGTCGTTGTTGTCACGACTCCCTCATGCCTGCATCAGACTCCAAGCGTTGGTCTCCTATCTCACCAATGGTTGTCGGTGCCTCTTCATCCCCCTTCGTGTCTCATCCTGTTAAGGTTTGCCTCGTGGTGGTTTTGGTTTGCTCGCGTGGAGAGCCAAAAGTGTCAACTAGGTTTTCTTGGTTCATGTTTTAGTTTATCTATAAGGCTATCTGAGAGCAGGTCTAACATGCATAGGGTCTTCTATGGCATTCTGTGGTTCCAATACTTGGACAAGAGGGTTGCGGAAGACAAGTTTTTGGTGGCTGGTGGTGGTGGTGGTTGGCTCCTGGGTTTTCTTGGAGTCATATTGATCTCTTGCTACATCGGATCTCTATTTTCAATCCTCCTGTTCTTGGCGTTGGGCATGGCTTGAAGGAAACATTAAAATTTTAGTTATATTAGGCAAAGGAAGCTTTAAAATTAAATCTTTGAGCTTTAACACAACTAACCCCAAGTATCTTTAGGCTTGGTTTAGATTGTTCCTCTCCTAGACATTCTAGACTAAGAGAAAGAGAGAGTAGAAACTTTACCCTCGAAGCACCTTCTGTGTTTCATCTTATGGAAAAGAGTTGACATCTTTTGAGTTGATCAACTTATGGAAGGCCTTCTTGATTCATTAAATCACCAATGGAGATGATCTCTAATTTTTCCACAGCGAGGAGGATAAAGGATATGATGCAACCTATGAAGGAGAGGATGCTAGTACTCACTTCCTAGGGTGACCGATTTTGGCTAGGTGGGAGGAGCTTGATGGTGTTCTTACTCCTCTCTTAGAAACTAGCTCAAAAACCCTAGCTCATCTTCAAGAGACAAAGTTGTCTTATATAGACACGTAAGGAGACCAAAGTCTCCCCTTGGTAAAATTGGTCATGGGATGTTACTTGGGCTTGTTGGGCTTAAGTGGTTATCCTACTATGCCCACACCGCATGTCTTAACTAACCCAACGGGTCCAAAGGCAATGAGCCTTGAACCCAATTTTATGGTTTAGGCCCAAACTACCCTTTTTCACATTCTCTTAATTAATTCAATCTCTATTAAATTAATAAGTCTATGCACATCATATTTATTTCCTTTCATTAAAATTTATCAATGTGTGATCCATTAGGTTTTAATTGGCAAGGTAATGGGCAATCCAAAACTCTTTATTGATCGATTGTGAATTAAAACTCCATTTTAATTCTCCCTTTATGAGAACTAGATTATATCTTGCTCTCAAGGCGTCCTCAAATCGTGAGTGACGTCTATCAACATGTCACGGTTACCCAAGCCAATATAGAATAGGGTTGTGAACCTATTCAATTGAAATTGTCGTGTAGTATAGTCGTTCTCTAATTCAATGCTCATGTCAAGCCCTTAGTGATTCATTAGAACATGATCGTAATCTCTATTATTGATTCAGTTAATTGCTTTGGCCAAAGACTTTTGAGTCACATATTCTCAGCATTCTTCTCCTTTACTGATGGTAGAGATCCCTTGTTGTATACTCATATGTCTCCATGAATTAATCACGAACCCTAGTCATATTTTTGGGTTATGCCTAGAGGAACACAACGCTTGAACATGTCTAAGGGCCCATGACACTTCCATGAGACAACTTGTGGTGCCTCAGGTCAAGGACTAATTTACGCTATTCCAATTTGAGAGATCCTAATTGACATGTAAGTAAAACTTCCATTCAAGTTCCCTCTATTGATCGCGTTCAGTGAATTCATTCTTAATTAAACACTCATACACTTATCTTAGTGATGTCTCTACATGAATGACTCAAGACCAATTGTTAGATATATGCCCTAGACCTAGAAGCCAATATAAAATGGATAATTATAAGGAAATAATATATAATAATCAAATGGGCAAAAACATTGCTTTAGATACATAACGTACACAAAGTAACAAGTCCATGGATTAAGATATAAATGGAAAGTGGTCTAAAGAAGTTAGATGCATGAGACCTTTCCATACATATAAATATTGTATCCTAAAATGTTCTTGGTCATATGATCACCAATTGGACAATGGGGACGCAAAGACTGGTACATATTATGTTTGCTCAATTGGGAGGATGACTAGTCTCAAGTCATTCGTGTGGAGACACTGAGGCAGATGTGTAGGTGCTCTATAGAAGATGGAGTCCACTAAATGCGATCAACTCTAGAATTCTTGTATGGAAGTCTTACTCACAAGTGTCAAACAAAGAATTCTAAGTTGTGATAATGCAAATTAATCCTTAGACCTGAAACATCACAATTGTCTTGTGTATATGTTGTTTCTCTTTGAGAGCACTATACGGTTGTATCAAAATGATGTGACTTAAAGGTGTTTCTCAAGATTCTTAGCGTGTACGCAGAGACAGGTGAATGTACAACAAGGAATCTCTGCTCTTAGTAAGAAGAGAGAATACTCTAAAGATATGATTCGTGAATCTCTAGTCAAAGTATTGGATGAAAATTGAAAGAAGAACGTTTGCAATTTCATCAAATTGAATCATATAATCTAGAGATGTCATATTAGGGATTTTGACACAAGTTTACCATATCCTGAGAATATGACATAGAGTACTGAATTAGAGAAAGATCGAATTGTATTGTAATCACAAACTGACTAGGTTCTCTAAATGAATTCTTTTTAGCTTGGGTAGCCATGACATACTACTAGGTGTCACTCATGGCTTGTGGAAGCCCTGTAAGGACTAATTACAATTGGCCTTCGCCAATAAGGAGAATTGTATGGAGGGATACAATTCACACTTGATTCAGAGTGAATCATTCATACCCACTGCCTCGCTAATTAGAACCTATAAGATCGCACACTGAAAAGGAATTGATTGGGAAATTATGAAGAGAATAAATGATTTTGTGACTTGGTCAAAGTCAATGTGAAAGTCAAAGGTCAAAAGGTCAAAGGTCAAACAATTGACCCGACACTTGACACGGTCAACTAAGGATGACCGGGACCAACACTCGTTAGACAAGTGAGTGATTGAATTAGTCAAGTCACTAAAGTAATTAAATTGATTAGATTAATTTATTCAATTAAAGTTATGAAACTTTAATTAAAGGTCCCATGTGACTTGGAAATTCAAAGGGGATTTGACCATATGGACTTAGGCACATATGTGACACATTATAAGATTAATGTGTTGGACCAAGATAGCAAAAGATGACACACAAAGGGAGGGAGGTGTGGCTACACTAGGGTTTGGGGGCATTTTTGTCACTCGTGTGACATTTTTGATCCTATAAGTGTGTAGCTATGGAATCCTGTCATCATAGGGTTTTCAAGTTGGTGAAATTGGAAAAGAGAAAACATCAAGCTCTCTCTCCCTAACCCCTTCAATCTATCACATCAAGTGAGGGTGCTAGCACCATTCTTCACTTGTTCTCTACTCATTCTTTCATCCCATTCAATCCTTGGTGAAGAGCTTTGGGGAGGTGCATATCTTTGTACCTATTTAGAGAGCTACAAGGTGGAGAATCAATATCAAGGGGAGAGCCAACAACAAAGGGACCACTCCCTCTACTTGAACACCATTCTTGGTTTCAAGATTTGCTCCAAGAGTATGAACATCTTATCTTTCTCTCAAATAGGATTTAGAGAGTCTTTGGTGCACACTTTCATAGCCTTATAAAGATTGGGACCAAATGAGACTTGCATGAATCCCTAGTTTATTTAATGCTTCCGCTCTTACTTTGATTTCATATTAGATATGGCTTGCTAGGTGATTTATACTCTCAAAGTTTGGTTGTAGAGTTTTTAGAAATCTATACACAACACTATTCCCACAATATATTCCCTTCACAGTCATCCTCCTGATTGAGTAGATATAGTGCATGATGGTCTTTGCAGATCAAAAAAGCCCAGTTGATTATCCTATGATTACGAAGTCTTTAGGATGTGGACATGGCACAAAAAAGTCTTATGAACTTAACTTCTTTAAGTCACTTTCTACGTCTTTGGATCCATAGACTCGATGGTTAAATAAATAACTAAGATTATTACTCAAAACAACATTATGCCCTTAATTAATTAAGTGAAATATCCTTGTAGTTTACATCTCATGATTGGCTCTAGGGCATACTTCTAACATGGCTTTTAGTAGTTAGGGCTATTGGGTGCCATCTCTTTGTTTGGTTTTTCTGCGATAAGGTTCGCGGATTAGGGTGGTGTTATCATGGATTCTTATAATGAGCGTAGAATTTGTCTTCGAAGCCTATCTTGAGAAGAGGACGGAGACTAGCCTAGAGGGGTCTCCCCAGTCTCCCTGATGTGTTCATTGGAATGTTTGTGGGGTTGGCATCTAATAAACGTTCCTACTTTGATGATCTTCTATTGGACATTCGTCATGCTAAGCGGCCAATCTTGGTCCCACATGCCTTGTCGGTTAGGGGTTTGGATTAAGAAATAAGGAGATGGTTTTTGGTGCTTCTGCTAGCTCTGCTCTAACACTCATTCTTATGCGTTGTACACATAATTATGTTCTGCATAAGAGGTTTTTCTTTGACAATTTTATATTGTGGTGGGATGCTCTTTGCTGAGATTGTAGTTGTGCTTATTTTGTTTGGCATTGGGGGAGATGACGTTTGATGACTTATGCTAGTTCTGTTTCTAACACTCACGACACGATTTTGGTATTGTACAAAGAACTATGCGAGCATGGAAGTTCTTCTTTGAAAGTATTACGCTGTTGTGGATGTTCTTTGTTGATCTTGTAGTTGTGCTATCTACTATTTCGTTTTGGTCTTTGTTTTTGACTCTCTTGTAGTCCAATGCATGTGTGGCACTCTTTCTCCTACTCCAGGGTTTCCCATGTAGTTTTCCCTCGAAATGTTTTAATGAGGTTGTGTTCCTACGTGCATATTCTATTGTATTTTTTCAGGAATATTAATGGAATTTCTCTTCTTAAAAAAAGTCCACTTAGGAGTTTTGAATTAGAAGCCCCTTGTGGTGATTTCTTTTGAGCCTTGCTCAGATTGAAATTCCCCATCACCCCTTTTAGGCTATGTTCTCAATCAATTCCTTCTTCCAAAACCTGCTATCTATCATTGCTCATGTTCTCTAAATTTGGTTATACATCGTCTTTGACAGAAGTTGCTGCAAATCACCCAATTGTTCTTTGGCATTTTTTTGTTTGTTTATTTTTTCACTCTTATGCGTAGGTAGAGCATTGGAAATTATATTTTTCCCTGCTATGTTACGGATGCGGTAGTTGGTGTGGCTGCGATGGCGCTTCTTCATGTGGTGATGGTAAGGTTCATGTAGGCTAAACAATTACTACTATAGGAAAAATAAAACTGAAGAAGAGTCACAAATGTAGAGATCAAAATGAGGAAAACAAAATAAAATAAAGAATTTAACAATTTCTGCTGTAGAAC